CTAATAGTTAATAGGAAAAAAGACTACAACTAAGGAGTTTAAAACTAACCAAATAAATGAATAAAAGTAGCTATTTATGGACCAATAATGACAGTATTGGTGAAGGATCAAGGATTGTGATTAATTCTACTCTGTGTGTGTCTGTGTCTGTGCATGCGTGCATGTGTAGAGAGAGATAGAAAGAGAATCCTTAAGTATTTACTTGAAACACACTTGTTAAAAGCATATGTCATTTTTGGGAAAATCAGTATAGCAGAATGGTTAAGAGACCCAATTTTTGGAGCCAGACTCCGGGTTTGAATCTCAGCTCTAATAATCGACAGCTTCGTGAACTTGCGCAGGTTACTTTACTTCATTATGTCCCAGTTTCTGGGTCTGTACAATTAGGACAGCAACAGTATTTACCTCACAGGTTATTATGTGTAGGAGCTTAGAGTCTAGCATGTAGTAAGGACAATATAAGAATATAAGCTTGACATTATTCTTACATGCTTTTACAAGAAATATAAGGGAAGATAGAACGTATAGTGACCAGAAAAATGGATATGAAATCAGAAATTTTGAATTTTTTCCACTTTTATTGCTTCTTTTTGTGATTCTAAGCCAGTTGTTTATTCCTGTGAACTACTTTCATCCCTGTCAGAAAGAGGATAGATACTGTTAATTCCATTTCCAAAAATTCTCAAATTCTGTGATTAGTTTTGAACACCTGTTTATATATGTGTCACTATCATGAATCCAAGAAAAATTATTCTCCACGCAACTTGGAACATGTAATTGTTTTTGTGCTTTGGGTAGTTCTATATCCCAAGTTTAGGGACTAGAAGCCAATAAGCAAAATGTGACCTCTTTATGGATGAACTATAAAATTAAACTAATGAATTAGTTTTTCCTAATATCCACTTAAGATTTGAGAACAGACGTGAGCTCATTCTTTTTGGTTTTCTTTTTAGCTTTCTGCGTCGTTAAGATTCTGAAGTCAACACTGGAGTTAATTTTATTTATTGCACGATGAAGGCAACCTGAAAAATTCAGTTTTCTTCATTCTTAAACGCCTTTAATGAGACAACATATGACTAAATTTTTTTAAACTAAGAAGTTACAAGGTGAGTACCACATAAAACATCCGATGACAAATAGTGTCAGGTAGAGAATTCACTGCAAGCCTTACTTACCCCCCCACACACACACATCTGATGACCAAAAAAAAAAAAAAAAAAAGACTGACTTTAACGTCTGCTGCCAAGTTATCTAGTTTATGTGCAGAAAGGACACAAAAGGAAGCAAAACTCTTCTAGCCATTTCTATAGTTATATAAATTGTAGCGCTTACTGGTTCCTTGAAGTCATTCCTATGTGTGTTCACTCACATACAATCGTACATGTGAGTGTATCACTATAACCCGTATCTCCTAAGCTGAATTCAAAAGTTGTCCAGGTGCAGACTCATCCACTCAGTGTATGCACTTGTAGCATAGCAGTCATGCACTAATAAGCAATGCTATAATGAACAAATGTGCAACACCTCATATGATTGTTCTAAAGTGCCTATGAAATACATAAACATAGAAGACATCTGACAGGTAGCAGATAATAAATGTAGTTACTGTATCACTATATATTTTTTATTTTACATGCTAATATTTGTTACATATTAAAGTAACTTAATATTTTAGAAGTTGTGTTATAGAAATATAGTCACCTGAAAAGTAATATTGAATTATTAAAATCACCTAGTATACTATATTTTCATTGAAGATAATCACAATAGTAATAAGTTATTTAGTTTAATCAATGGCCCTGGATGCCGATGTATAAAACATACTGACCAGAATGTACTAAAATGGTTAAATTTGATGATCTTCATAGTTTTTGAAATCAGTTAACAAAAAGGGAAGATCTCTTTTTCCTTATGGCTATAAAAAAATGGAACAAATGCAAATATTTTCTGAATTTAGCAAGAGGTTTTGGGTGATAAATTAATGTGGCACATGTGTATAAAGAGAGGAGCTGGCACAGCACTGATGATTTCCAGGTCCTGCTTCTTTCCTGGCTTTCCCTCTCTCCATTTGTCCAGGGAATCAGGATGCAGGATGTCATTATCAAGAAACTCCACAGAAAGGAACAATTTAAACTGCCAACATCTATACTGCATATCAAACAAAGGAAAAATAATGTTCAATGCTTAATATTACTTTTTAGCAGTTCACTAGAGTATATTTTCTGAGAATTAAAATCTCTGATAGGTAAAGCATCACAGGGCTAATAAGAAATGCAACACTTGGTGTAATTTATTAAATATTTATTTAATTACTATTATGTTCATGCATTATTTTTTACATAAAAGATCCAGAAAATCTCTGGGTACAGTGGCTCATGCCTGTAATCTCAGCACTTTGGAAGGCTGAGGCGGGTGGATTACCTGATGTCAGGAGTTCAAGACCAGCCTGCCCAACATGGCGAAATCCCATCTCTACTCAAAATACAAAAAATTAGCCGGGTGTGGTGGCATGCACGTGTAATCCCAGGTACTCGGGAGATTGAGGCAGGAGAATCGCTTGAACCCGGGATGGGGAGGTTGCAGTCAGCCGAGATCATGCCACTGCACCCCAGTCTGGGCGACAAGAGTGAAACAATGTCTCAAAAAAAAAAAAAAAAAAAAATCCAGAAAATCAAGTCCGAAAAACAAGAACATTTTTAGTAATGAAAAAGCCAAGTAACCATAACTAATCAATAATCAATAATCCTTTTCTCAATTATCTGAGTAATGTTAAGGATTCATTAAACAGTTCTGCTGGTCTTTCACCATGAAACCCGGGATCCCTTTTTATTCTATTATACTTTTCCATTCTCACATCTAAATTAAAAGCAATTAGAAGGGTCTCTTCTATTTGTTATTTCTCCTTATTTCGCCTTGCCTGATCAAGGTCAAGTTCCAGGCTTACCTTCTCTGGAGAGTTTCACTCATTTTCCTTTGCTTAACTATTCTGCATGCTGTTCAATTATTTCAATACCTTAACTACATAACTTAAAATAATAAACAATATTGATATTAATACATATATATCAACACACATTTATAGAAATGTCTGTATTGTTCTTTGTTTCTTGTGCATGGGTCTTGTATCTCCAACTAGATGCTTTACAGACTGATTCAGAAATCTGATTCCCTATGGCATGATACAGAAACTGATTCCCTATGGCATAATTGATTTTTGTAGTTTGTTCCTCTGAGAATTTGCTCATCAATAAATGTGTTTTGATTGATTATTATTTAGTATTTTGCTTCTCAGTTAATGCCTATGTATTTCACTTTCAGCTCACTGCAACCTCCACCTCCCAGGCTCAAACGATTCTCATGCCTCAGCCTCCCAAGTAGCTGGGATTATAGGCATGCACCACCACACCTGGATAATTTTCATATTATTAGTAGAGATGGGGTTTCTCCATGTTGGCCAGGCTAGTCTCAAACTCCTGGCCTCAAGTGATCCACCTGCCTTGGCTTCCCAAAGTGCTGGGATTACAGGTATGAACCACTGCGTCCAGCCTATTCATAATCCTTTACTCCTTCCTTCCCTGTATGTGGAGTACATTTACCCACTCCATTAATTTTGAGCTTGGCCATGAGACTTGCTTTGGTTTGTGATCTGTGGGCAGATGGAACATATGCCACATCCAAGCAAGAAGCACAGGAGACACTGCAGGTTTCTGCCAACCTCTTTTGCAAATGCTCTTTGCAGTGAGAACAGCATGTCCCTGTTAGGTCGGCTTCTTCAGCCTGGGCCTTGGAATGAGAAGCTTGCACAGAGTAGACCTGCAGTTGACCCACAGTTTGAAGCAGAGCACAACCAAATTACAGCCTTGTTTCATGAATGAGAAGTAACTTTTCTAAATCACTTATATTTTAGAGTTGTTTTCTACACAGAAAAGCTGACTAATACAGGACCTTAGAATTAATCTAACTTCATTTTACATGTCATGAGAGAGGTTTAGATTTTTATGGTTTGCTAATGGAAGAGTTATGGCATAAATTGTGAACTACTGATTTTTAGTTCTTTTAAAAAAATACACACAAAATGCCTGGCTGTTTTGTTATCCTAAAATTTGGAGAAATATAACTCAAATTGTTTGAAATTTACGGCCTTAGTACTATCTGGAACTGCCCTCTTAGACTATCATTAGATTCTAGAGAATAGGTAGAAGAAAATCTAGAAACTAAACAAAATGTACTTTCAGTATAAAATAGGATATACTTCTACGTGGAAGGTATTAATCTGTCTTAGGTCCAGGCTTGTTTGGTAGGAGATAGAATGAAATGCAGTAATCTTTGTGCATTCCTTTCAGGCCCAAGTCTTTCATATGCATTGTTAATCTAAAATATATATTTAAAAGTCTTCCATTGTAAACAACTACTTTATCATAGAACATTCTTATTTGAAAATGGATATAATGTCTTAATAAGTTATCTCCTTGATTTCCATGACAAAATCTACCGTATACTTTGATGCTAAGTGGGGAATTCCAAAATCTTAACTGTTTCCTTTGCAAAATTCAGGTGGAAACATCCCTGTCATTATGTGCTTCAGTTCATCAGAACTTTAACTTGGTCCTGAAGTTTATGTTATGCTTTTGTATTCTTAGAATGAATTCATTTTCTTAACTCTGTGACATTTGTTACTAAAAATTCAGACTAGATTACTAGTTTACTTCTAATAGAAATAACTAACACACCTACTTTCTTTACCATATCAATTTTTTGAAAGTAAAACCAGTTATATGTAGCATTATTTCTCCCACTACTTATGGGAAAAATAATACTTCATGTTTTAGGTAATAAGTGTCTTATTGAACAACCACTTATAACTATCTTTTTTGTTGTTGTTGTTTATTGTGCTTCTCCTAACAAAGGAAACAAAATGTAATAAACCAGATTGGGTAACCAATGGATATTCTTTGTCTAAATTTCATCTCTCCCCTTATTTGGTCATACACAAATCTTACCTTTGTGAAAAAACATCTCGGTAAGGACTGCCATGTTGTAATGCAATTCCATATCCCCGATCAGCAACAGTATTTCCAATGGTGTAAAAGGAACAATCTGGGTCATTGATAGCCACATATTCCAATACAGCTGCATCCCATACAAAAGCATAATTTCCATATTTTACCTGTGAAAAAATGAAGAACAAAAGAAGAAATAGGGTTTAAAGTTGGAATTTTAATTTACATAGACAGGATGAACAACATTACATTGGTATATATTTAATTATGCCAAAAATAATAGAACATACAGTTGTCCTTCAGTATCTGTTGGGGATTGATTTCAGAACCCCTGTGGATACCAAAATCCAGGGATACTCAAGTCCTTTATAAAATGGCATAGTATTTGCATATAATCTCTATACATCCTCCAGTATACTTAAATCATATCTAGATTACTTATGATACCTAATACAATGTACATAGTATGTAAACAGTTGTTGCACTGTATTGTTTTTAATTTGTATTTTTATTATATTATTACTCTCTATTGTGTTTTAAAAATATTTTCAGTTCATGGCTGGTTGAATCTGCATCTGCAGAACCTGCAGATATGGAGGGCAGACTGTATTTCTAAGTAAACTTTTATTCTGAATGATAATTTGTACTTTGGTTAATTTATAGCTCTGTTCTGAAAACATGGAAAAGGTCGAATGTTTACTATACTTTTAGGCCACGTTGCTTGTAGTAAAATGATCCTTGAGTGGAAAATGTCATTTGGATCGAGAGAACAAAAAATGCATGAAAGGAAGCCATGTCTTTGAGCTTCTACCATTTCAGTGATTCGTGTGACTGGGACTGTCCCTTTTGGGGACCCTGAAAGTTATGCCTTTGGAGTTATTACAAGAGCTACTGATGACTTGTGTTACCAGGCTTCTAAGCCAGGTGGGTTTCTGCGCTCACTCAACATAGGTATCATCTTGCATGTCATCCCTGTTCTAACTGAAAGCTGCAAGTACAACTCACATTGAAGAAAAATGAGCAATGCTGCCCTGCTGATGAGCTGCATCTCCTGTCCTATATCCTTCTAAATTAATCTGTTATCGCATGTGGCCTGTGGATATCTTGCAGCTGAACTTAGAAGAAAACTCCCTGGTGGGCATTGCAATGAGGAAAATACAACGATTCCACAACTTCCTCTATCGTCATTTTTGGAACATAACTTTACTCTGGTTCACTTACAATGTCTTTAGTGATTATTTTTTCCCCTCAGTAATGACTCATACACTGAGTCACAAATTTACCCCCCTCAAAAAAAGCCTGACCTACTACCCTAAGCATCTCAATAAAGTATATTTTCACTTTATTACATGTAAAAATGGACTTAAGGAATTCATAAAATAAATAGAAGTAATAGTTAAACTCCAAGGTTAGTTTGCTTATATTAAAAGAATAATGCAACATTATTAAACAAGGAAAAGCAACACTGGTTTAGTATTGGAAATGTTACTGGGGTGACAGTATATCTTACAAATGAGGCTTTATAAAACTTTTAAATGATCTTTCAATAGACACAAGAAAGATACTTGGCAAAATTATAAACAGTTATCTATCTATTATCTATCTAGTGGTAAACCAGGAATAAAGAAAATCCATAATGAGATACAGAATGCTTCAAACAACAGCAAACCTATTTCAAGCTTAAACTCTCACTGCATTACCATTAAAGTAAAGAAAATGATGCTTACTATTAACCCAAAATTAACATTATTGTAACAACTTTATCCTATGGAAAAAAGGATGGAAGCAAAACTATGATTTCAATCTATTAGGAAAAAATTATCATCCAGTAGAGACAAAATTATCATTATTTGATGATATATTTAAGAAGCCCACCAGAATCAAGTGAAAAAGTATTTTAAAAATTCAGATTTCAAAAAATAGATTGATCGTAAATGGATATATACAAATGATTTGTTTTTCTATTAATATATTAATGAGATGATAGTTTGAATAAAAATATCTATGTACACTAAATATAAATACAGAGAGAGAAATTTAACAATAAATTAGTAGGAGCTATATGAAGAACACCTTAACACTCGACTGAAGACGGCTTGAACAAGTTTCTGGATAGATATAACATATTCCTCAGCATGCGGATATATAATTACAAAAGACATTTAAATTTTCCTCAGATTCTCCAATACAAAATGTAATTCTAAATAAAATGCCCAAAGTTTATTTTAGAACTTCTTAAGACCTTTGCAAATTTAATTAGGAGAAAACAGATAAGAATAGTAAAGAAATTTTGAAAATTAAAAAAATAATAATTATCGGAGACTTAGAATACCAAGTAATGAGACAAGCTATAAAGCTTAAAAATAAAACAGCACAAAATGTATTTCAGAATAGAAAATCAGTGGAACAAAGTATTTAAATGTCATGTAAAGACTGTATTAGACTGCATAGTATTCCATAGCATATATGTGCCACATTTTCTTTATCCAGTCTATCATTGATGGGCATTTGGGTTGGTTCCAAGTCTTTGCTATTGTGAATAGTGCTGCAGTAAACATACATGTGCATGTGTCTTTATAGTAGAATGATTTATAATCCCTTGGGTATATACCCGGTAATGGAATTGCTGGCAGTTCATGTCCTTTGCAGGGACATGGATGAAGCTGGAAACCATCATTCTCAGCAAACTAACACAGGAACAGAAAACCAAACACCACATATTCTCACTCATAAGTGAGAGTTGAACAATGAGAACACATGGACACAGGGAGGGGAACATCACACAGCGGGCTAGGGGAGGGATAGCATTAGGAGAAATACCTAATGTAGGTGACAGGTTGATGGGTGCAGCAAACCATCATGGCACGTGTATACCTATGTAACAAACCTGCACGTTCTGCACATGTATCCCAGAACTTAAGTATAATAATAATAATAAAAGAATCCTCTGCCATCATAAAACTTTTACCTCTCTTTAAAAATAAGGCTGCATTAGAAAGTCAATAAATCAAATCAGTGTGGCAAATACGAAATATTCAAAAAATGTGACTGGGACTGGTGATAATTGCAAAAATGTCAATATCAGAGCGCTACGTCACACCAGACAAAATACATTTCTGTAGTGTAATAAATTAAATATAATTTTTAAAAAACAAAGTTTTAAGAAAAGAAAAACTAGAAGAACATGTGAGACTTCTTTTAGTACTGAAAAAAGAATGGAATATCTAAACATAAAAGTAAAGGAAGTAAATATAAAAGAAACATTTAATTGTTGCCTTTTAAATACATTTGCTTAGATCCCACCAACAATGGATACCCAGTAAAAAGTTTTGTATGAAACAATGAATGGCCTAAACCCTTCAGTCCAGTTAACTGTGCTCAGTGGATACTTACTGTCTTTTGTTGAGGTGAACCCCAACCAAACCATGAGGTATTGAAACAGACAAAAGTTTTTTCCCTAAAGAAAGCATGTAATGCAAGTATTACTCATGGAGTGTCTGTGGTACCCTAGATCCTAGTTTACGTACTATCAGTCAGTGTTTCTCACAATGTGATGCTAAGACCACCACCATTAGAATTACTAGGGGATTTTTGTGTTAGATATGTAGATTCTAGATCTAATCCCAAACTTACTGCATGATGATGTTTGATGTTTAAGGCCTGGGAGTATGCATTTTAACAATCCTGACAGCCTATACACACTGCTTTTTTATTACTAATGATGCTGATGATTAAAAATATGAGTAATATCATCAGAAACAATTTTATATACATGGGGTTTGATATAATTATAAACTAGGAGATGCTTGGAGTCTTGGTGTGAGAGAAGGAAAAACACTTGTATAGGTTTCCTCTACATTGATTTCTCACCCACAGAGTTATCCCATAGTTTCCCTCTTTTCTCTGATCCTTTGCAACCAACTTGCAGATCTGCTTTTAGCTCCCTAGGTCTAAATTTACAGTGATTGGGAGTAGCAGTGACCTTGCAGCTTCCTCTAACAACCTACTTTGATTTTTTGTGATTATCTTCTGTTTTAAACTGTTAGTTTGGCCTCCTGGATCCCCTGGCAGCTTCTTTACAAACCTCAAGGGACCTCCCCAGCAGGGGACATATTGCTTTGCTGTTAGAAAAGTTTTCTAGCTTTGTTGTCAAGGCTTTGTGAACTGTAGAGCTCTACTTAAATGTATAGTAACATTATCTTTGCCATTATATATGCTGTCTCTTGCAATACCGATGTTCCAAAGCATTATGAATGGATTTTTAAAAAAGAGAATCATTAAGACAGTATGATTATAGCCTGTAGCAATGGCAACGAAATGTTGCATAGTAACCCAAACTATTTTAGCTTTTAAAAATGGCCCTGGCCTTTTTCATCAATTAAAACATATAATCACTGCCTTTTGAATGGTTTTTAACCATCAAATTAAAACTCTATAAAATACTCATCAGCAAAGCCTAAACTCACTTTTCAACAGAATAATAACTGAAGGACTGGTCTAAAAATTTTCAATCCATCTGACTAGGTAATGGAGTTTTCTTAAAATTTTTCAACTAGCCCTGTTCTTGAGGCCATGTTTAGGTAGGTAACTGAATCACATGCTATTGATTTATTTGCTAATGAATTCCACACCAGCAGAGTCCTTCATAATAGGTTAAACAGAAGAAAGCAAAACTGAATCTGGGAGCTTCATGTCAGCATATTTCAGGTCTCATTTTGAGGAAGGAAAAATAATCCAAAGTGATATCCACCTCTAGTGTTTTCAATCTCCAGACCCCAAAGTAGAGATGCTAGGATGCTATGGTTATTGATTGACATTGGTAACTATTGAGGCTTAGCATCTGTGTCCTCATAATAGTGCCTGAGATACCAACAGCCTCCCGGTGATAAATTTCTCACTTTCCAGATAACACTAGGAGCTAGGTTTTGTTCCCATTTCTATATTATTTCTATAGCAGTTGTTCTTTAAAGTCAATTTTACTAACAATCTAAAATTAACAGAATTTTAGAGTTAATTACACATTAACTCTAAAATTCTGAAGGTTAAGTTTATAAGGAATATAAAGGTAAGACTTGGGCCCCCATCGTCAAGCTGCTTACAACTCAGTAGTGGAGATAAGTCAAGTACTACATTGTTGTAACACGAATCCTATTATGGTAAGGATCAT